CCCCCATTATCGGTTGCGCCGGTGTTCGCCCTGTGCGCACAGCCCAAAAAAACCGAATCTGTGTATCGATTGGTATTCGTTTCTCACAGTCCAGGAAAATTCCTGTCTATGCACCACTGTGCGCACTATACCTCTCGCCCTCGCTCAACAGCGTGGACGGGGTCTACTCTTGAGGATGAGGTTTAAAAGTCTCTTTCGCTCTAAAAGCCTGGTGGAATATGGCAGCTCCTTTGGCGAAAATCAATAGCCCGCGACGCCATCATACCCCGTGACCTTGTATCATCCAGGTCCCACCAGACACGTATAAAGCCCCCTCCTCTTGAGCCCGCCGCCTCTGTTGCACGCCAATTTTCTATTCTTTCTTCTTTAGCTCTCTTGTGTATTAATTTAAATTTCTTTTTTATTTCTTTCTTTCTGACGAACCTCTAGTCATTCCCACCCCCACACGACCTACTTTATTCTTGAACAGAGAAACACCTACAGCTCCGGAAAACAATCTGCCACTATGAGGTCAAAGTTTAAGGACGAGCACCCCTTCGGTAAGTCTACCTGCTCTCCCCTTCCCACCCCCTTTCCTCGCGCCGCCAGAAAATGAGCGAATTGCCTGCGGAGGCCCTCAGCATGGGGGTGGCCGCAAGCCGACCACCACAGCGCCCACTAAGCCCACACTCCTGTAGAGAAGCGCAAGGCCGAGGCCGAGAGAATTAGGCAAAAGTACCCCGACCGCATTCCGGTAAGTATTCCAAACCCCTCCCTTTTGGCCTATACAGCTGGCACTCTTCCTTCTTTTGTTTGCAGGCGCAGAGTGGAAGCAAGGGCCGCGACACGCGCGCATGCCTCTCCTTTTTCTGGTCTGCGCAATCCCATCCATACATATCCACCGAGGAAAAGAAGGGGGAAATGGCCGCCAAGACAGCTTGCCGTAGCCCGCGGCACACGTGCCATGCCCGCCCAACCCATTCGGCACTCGCTTACTCAACGTCATCATACGTGTAGGTTATCTGCGAAAAGGTCGAGAAGAGCGACATCGCAAACATCGACAAGAAGAAGTACCTGGTTCCGGCCGACCTGACTGTCGGGCAGTTCGTCTACGTTATCCGCAAGCGGATCAAGCTGAGCCCGGAAAAGGCCATCTTCATTTTTGTCAATGAGGTTCTGCCGCCCACCGCCGCCCTGATGTCTGCCGTCTACGAGGAGCACAAGGACGAGGACGGCTTCCTGTACATCACATACTCGGGCGAAAACACCTTTGGCCAGCCGCTCTAAAACGACGTAGCCCACGCTGGAGAAGAACCGTCTTTCCAATTCCTCTCCTTCTGACCCCTTGTTTCTATTTTATGTAGCAATTCATACTTGCTCTGTTGTTTTTTGTTGTTTCCCCTCACTTCCCCTCGTCTCTCCGTCTTTCATGTCGCTTTCTTATAAAGTCTGGCACCTAATGTGTATAGTGAGCATCACTGGATTCGCGTATTATTTTATCCAAAGAGGCCTATTGCTGCCGGATCTGCTTGGCTGCGCGGTCCGAGGCCACCCGCCGCTTGCGCTTGGCCGGCGACCGCATGGGCTCATTGACCGACGAGTCGCTCTCCTGGTCCTCCAATTCATCAATCTTGACTCGCAATGCATGGCCCGCGGGCTCGTCATCGCGTGGAATCACCGCCGCCTCGGTCTGCAGCAGCTGCTCAATCCAGGCACGCGCGTCGGGAATAATCTCCATCGTCATCTGGTACACCTCTGTCTCCTCGCCGTTGTACATGAGCGCGTTCTGCAGCATATGCATGACGTCGCGGTAAAACTCCACCGTGGTCGTGATCTCCTCGTCGCGCACCCGGTTCTTGATCGCCTTCAGATCCAGTGGCTCCTTGATCGCCTCGTAGTAGTTTGGCGCGTCCGCCTTCTTGATCGCCGTGTTGAACATGCTGCCCAGGCGGTGTCCTGAGATGTCCCGCCACACCATGTTCACGTTCTTCTTCCAGTTCCGCAGCTGCTGCTCATCCACAGTCGAGGTTGGCCGGCTTGCCGTGGCTGGCGGCTTGGGTTTGATGTCTTCGGACTCGGACGGCTCTGCCTCTGCCTTGCCTTGCTTGGCGGTATCGACATCCATTGTCTCGACGTCATTTTGTGCATCGACGCGACTCGTCTCCTCGACTGGCTCGGCTGATTGTTCATTGTTCTCGGATTGCAGTTCCTCAGTCTCCTCAGCCATGCTGCCGTCTCTAGTTTCGCGCTGTGTGCTATCCTTGGATTCGGGTTTGGAGCCCACTTCCTCCTCGTCAGGGTGCTCCATAGGTGTCGAGTATGTCTCTGAAGCAGGCTCCTGCTCACCGCTGGCCTCAGTCTCATCATTCCTCTCACCCGCTTCCTCTTCACCCTCCTCTTCGTTGGGCTCAGACATTGTCTCCTCTTGATGCTGCTTCTCCTCTTCTTCCGTCTCCTTAACCTTTGCTTTAGCCAAAACTTTCGCCTCGGCCTCGAGTTTTGCCTTCTCTTCAGCTTCCGCCCTGACCTTGGCTTCTGCTCCAGCCTTGGCTTTGGCTTCTGCCTCCGCCCTGGCTTTGGTTTCTGCGTCAGCCTTCTCCCTTGCCTCTGCTGCTGCTGCTGCCTCGGCTTCTGCTTCTGCCTTTGCTTTCTCCTCAGTAGCCCTCTTGGCCAGCTCCTCGGCTTCCGCCTTAGCCTTCTCCTCGGCTGCCCTCTGTGCAAGCTCCTCTGCCTCGCGCTTCGCCTTCTCCTCCTCCGCCATACGCCTCGCCTTTTCCGCAGCCAGCTTTGCCTTGGTTTCTTCCTCTTCTTTCGCCTTCTCAGCAATCCGCCTATCGTCCTCCTCCTTCTTCCGTGCCATCTCGAGTTGCTCCGCCGCGCGTCTCGCCTGCTGCTGCTGCTCGGCAATTTTAAGCTCTGAATCAACTACTTTGAGCTCACCAGCAAGCTCATCGATCCGCTGCTCCTTCAGTGCGTGCAGGACTCTGTGGATTGCTTCTTTGGAATTGACTGTGCTGCCGGCCGGCACCAAGTCTGTGTATATCCGCTGGCACTCGACGTCGGTGGGGGTATGCGAGGGTTTGGAGAGCGCCCCAGGGCAGCGCGCAAGTGTCTCGGAGATCCTGGTCCAGCTTTCAGTGCCCATGGAGGACACTAGGCTGAGAACTAGGATTTTGTCGCGGGTTGTGTATTCGTCGGCAAGCCGCTTATCTGACACAGCCATAGTCATTTGGGAAATTTTTGTGGGTAGAGGGGGATAGTACAGAAGGTGGTAAAAGTAAGAGGACTGTGGGCGCTTGCGTTGGCCCTTATCACGGTCCACTCTGATAATGGACATGCCTTTTATTGCAATCAGAGTCATTATGGTCCTTTGTTGAAATCGTGCAGTGCGCAGCTGTTGAGCACATTTGTTGAATGCTACATGCTTCAGATACATGCTGAAAAAAATTTCGGTACATGTCTTGAGCTATCGATAGCGTCAAGCTCGGCAAGCAGGAAAGAAGAGATGGAAAAGCCGCACAGGGTACAGTACATCGGTAAAAGATACCTTCATGTGGTGATCTGAGGTCTTGGCTCTTGAGCTGACAAGAAAATCGGCCACTTTTTTCTCGGCACTACGCATAGTATCTACAGCATATGTGAACATCATTGAATTGGCTGCCGTTGAAAACAGAGAGGCAGGTACCCATGTGCAGATCTTGGCCAGCACATGTACTTGCGACAGCAAAGATTTCTGTCAACCAATATGTTTTCTCCTGGCTCTGCAGCACCTGCGCATTTGCATCCCAGAGCCCCGCCTCTTGCACACAGTCTAACAGCCTGCCAGAATGCCATTGTCTTGTCGGGCAGCCCTGGCTTTAATTCATATTGGGCTGCACTAGCTGACTGCGTAATCGGAAACGCTTTTCTGTAAGCGTGCAGCGCTTTCACAAGGGGGAACTGCATCGGTACAAAAGGGCTGTCAAAAGCAAACTGTGCATGTGGACTATTTCAAAAGGGGATATAGATCCAGAGAAGAGCACCGCCCGCCCTATCTCGATTCCTTGTTGCCTCTTTTATCTCTAAACACTCAAAATAATCAAAATCATGTTCTACCACAGCTCAGGTAAGTTTGCTCCCAGAGCTAGAACAGGGCAAGGACCAACCAGGGAATTTGGTGACGTATAATGAGGGCTGCATCCCTGTCTGAACTAGGACTAGCCAATTGAGTTGGGTTGCATTCGAAGCAAGATGCGTGTCTAAATCAACAACGAGCAGTTGTTATCATCTATGGATAGCTCGGCATCACCAAGTAGCCTGCAAAGGTTTGCCTTAGGTTCTTGTGTAAACGTAGTGATATCATGGATGCTCTTCGCAATTTGTGCCAAAAAGTTTGTTATTTATGTTACACTCGGCAATAAATACTCTTTTTAAAGCGTTGTAGTCTGTTAAGTATTTACGCGTAGGGGCATATCTCTTTTCCAATGTCACAGAAAGCTCCAGTTATTCTTGTCGGCCATCCTACAATGTGTGACGAATAGAGTAAGGTTTGTTAATATAGGGGATGAGTGATTATCTTTACCTATATATAAGATTTTATAGTCCAAAAAGTGTCCGACCGTCCGCTAGAAATTATTTACTTGGTTAAAAAAAAACTCTTAAGCTTCAACACGGGCTTGAGTGACTTGCTCTGTAAACTCCTTTTGATCTTGTGCAGCATCTGACCTCATCAGTGAAACCAGGGGTGACAAGTTGTTATTGTAGTGGTCACAGGTCCTCCCACTAGATATCTCCATTGGTTCAGCGCAAGAGCTGCTCTTGTTAACTTGGGGAATGAGTGGGTATAGAATATATGGAAAAATAAACTTTCTCAAATTGACTGAGGGGAAGGAGGAAAGCTGGTTGTCTGTCTGGGCCCTTGTATGTATGCCTTTCGGCCATGCCCATGGTGGGGCTGGGAGACTCCGGACCCTCGGAATGTCAACAAGGTTCAAATACACTATATGTAGTTGTGTACGCATTGTTTGTAGATGCATATAATTTCCTATTGCGTAAAACCAAAGTGGCTATTTATCTGCCTAAGATTCGGGCTGTCGTTAATTTCCAGCCGCATAGCATGAGGCATTCGCATCGCAAAAGCGTATAACTGGCCAACAATGGCCTCAGCCGGACCCATGTAGTTCAGATTCGTGTTTGCACCTGCTTGGATGTTCCTAGCACTAGCTCCTCGTTGTTCGTAACAGAGTGTTCTCGCGGTACCGGATATTCTGCAGGTTGCTGTTCTGGCTGTTGCTGAAGTTGAACGTAGCTGGTGCTTGCATAAGAGCATCCTGGCCCTGAGACTGGTCGCAAGGCTGCGGTGCAGGCTGGGGAGCGGGCTGAGGTCAGGAGCAGGCTGTGGTGCAGGAACTGGCATCCCTGACCCTGAGCCTGGCCCTGGTCACATGGTGAGGAGCGGGTGCCGGGCAGGTTGGGGCTCAGGGCTGGCTGAGGCTGAGGCTGAGGCTGAGGCTGAGGCTGAGGCTGAGGCAGGAACTGGAGCTGGGGCTGGGGCAGGACAAGGCATACCAGGAGCAGTACCACTGCACGATACAATCCCGCCAAAACTACCCAAGCCGAATGAACCGCCACCGCTGAAAATCTGACCACTACCAGCCGAGAATGCCAGGCCAGGGAACACATGGTGTGTGAAAAGCCTGGTCCAACAAAGCGGGAGCTGGGGAAGAGGTTATTGGCAGCAAACTGCAGCCCACGCCTCTCAAGCAGCATTTCTTTCGTGTCGTCAGCCTCGACAGGGATCGCGTTGA